ATTAATTAACTCAAATTTGAAACAATTTAAAACTCAAATAAAGTATAAATAAATTTTTATTCATTTTAAATTTTAATTTAATTAAAAATAATATAATACACATAATTATAAAAATGAACAAACTTAACTCAATTTCAATTAAATTTAAAAATCAACAACTTAATAGTTATTTACAACCTGAAATGATTGAATATAACCAAAATCAGAATTGAAATTGTAACTGATTCAAAATCCAATATTAATTATTCATCTTTTGTAACAATTTTAAAATTCTTTATTTAAACTTCTATCCCTTCATCTTCAATGTTTTATTTTTATTATATTTTTGGTTAAATTAGTTAATTAATTTTAAAAGTATTTCTAAAATAAAATTATAATTATAAATATAAATAATTGAATATACTTTTTTTATTTGAATTTAGGATAATTTCAATCTAACTTTTTAAATAAAGAGACGTATGCACTAATTATTGAGTTAAATTTGCTCATGTACATAACTGAATAATTAAGTATATCATTAATAAATGTAGATGATAAAACTTGACCTAACCTAATTGATCGTTGGTCCTCAATCTAAAATTTAACTCAAAATTATAAAAAGTCAAATTTTAAAATTATTAAAATGCTAAATAAATAATTAAGTAAAGATTTATCAAATAAAATTTTATAATGAATGCCTTTAAATCACTTTTAAGTTTAGTCAAATTATAATTTATAATAATTTGTTATTTAGATATAAAGTGATAATTAATTTGATGAATTTCAATTATTTTGAACAAATATTATCTAATATAGCAACCTTAAAAATTTTGAAACAATAGTGAACATTCTTCAACTAATATAAAAGAGAAAATGATTGAGTATACAATATTTCTTTAAATAAAAGGTTTCATTTTAATCTTAAAGAAATTTAAAATCAATACATTTGTATAATTTTCATTAAAACATCATATAATACTAATTTTCTTTGTCATTGGAGAAGAAAGAGTTATGCATAATCAATTAATCTCTTTATCTCTTTTTTGCTTAGAATAATCTTTCATTGATACTTCTATTAATTAAATGTAATTGTATGTTCTATCAATTTTTGCATGATTAAATTTAAAATAAATAAAAAAATAAAAAATAAAATTTATTTAAGAATAAATAATAATTATCCAATGATAAAATTTTTAAAAATTTCAAATGATAAATTTTTATAAAATTCTTAGGTGAGAAAATTTTTCTAAATTTGTCTCAAATGGTGAAATAATTTAGGCAAATTTTCAATAACAATAATTAATATTTATTTTCAAACAAAAAAAGAAAAAATAAAAATTTTTTGGTTGAAATATTTGACAATTATCCAATGATGAGATTCTTAAAAATTTCAAATGGTAAATTTCTTAAGAAATCTCTATGTGAGAAATTTTTTTAAATTTATCTAAAATTGTGGAAGAATTTAAATGAAAATTTAATAAAAAAATAGTTGTCATATTATTTTCTTTCAAAAAAATAAAAAAAAATTCTAAATCGACTTAAATGGTGAAAAAAAGAAATAAAAAAATAAAAAATTTATAAATGGGCCCAAATGATGAAGATTTTAAAAATTCAAAAGAGAAAATATTTTTAATTTGGCTCAAATGGTGAAATAATTAGATATATTTTTAATAAAAATAAAAAATAAAAAATAATTAAACATTTTTTTTATGACGGAACCTCTTCAAAGAAACAAATAGGATTCTTGAATACTCTTGATGTGAGAAAATATTTTTAAGAGTTCTACCAGATTGATGAAAAAATTTTAAATTTATTTTTAATATTTAACATAAAATTTGAAACTATTAGAATCAAAACTCTAAGATAAATTTAAAATAATATGGTACCATCTTTCGGATGTGTATGTAAGGGTACTATAACTTTTTCATATGTAATCGAACTTTTGAACCCTATTCTGATTTGTAAACTCGAACTTATTTTTTTAGGGATCCCTAGTTAAGTTGAGGAGTTCCTTCAGAGAATAGATTTTTTAGGTGATTAATCATATATAAATAAAAAAAGATTAGCGATAATTTCATTTGTTAAGTCTAACTATAGATTTTTGGATCTATATGTTATGACAATCATAATTTTGGTAGGGAACGAGTAATCATTTTACACATCATAGATGATTTTTGTCACTTGTTTTTTATTTTATGAAGAACTTGAAAATCAAACATAAAATTAAAATTATGACTTTTTCAGCAATATCATTTTAATTCACTGTAAATATGCTTTATAAATTACATCTGCCCAAAACCGCAAAATCAATCTATATTGAATAATAAGTTATTAATCCTTTGATGTTTTATGTTAATTTGAGGGGATTCAAATTTAGTAATTAAAGTATAATGAATTCCCAAGTTTTGGGAATGACATTAATAAATATATATATATATATATATATAAATATATAAACACACACATATACATACGTGTGTGTGGATAAATCAATTTATATAAGTGCAAAATTTTTTAATTTTATCTTTTTTTAATTATTAATTTTAATATATTTAAGAGATGAAATTAAATTATTTTTTAACTTATTTCTTTATCTATTGAATCTATTGAAATTAATAATTAATATATATATATACAATATTTTTATATAATTTGATCCCTCGGACCCCTTCCATATATATATATATTGATGGAAAATGCAAGATCGTAACCTTTTATAGCTCAGGATTTTTAACAAACATGTTAAAAAGGTTTCAAACCGGTTCTAAGTAATCGAATTACCTAGTTTTGAAATGGTCGATCCATGTTAATTTATTGGTAATTAATCACATACTCAATTTGGTTGCTATTATTCTAATTGGAGATCTAGATTAGCTATAAAGAGAGTTTTAGTTTGCTGGGTTTAAAATTGGTTTAATTCTGAAGAAATCTCTAATAAGGAAAAAATTTCTCTAAATACCACTAAAGCATTATCATAAAAACAGATTTTTCTAACAAAAATAAAATTACTATTAATTATGATTGTGAGCAGATGAAATTCTAAATCAAATTTTGAATAGTAATTCTTAATAATAATTCTGTGGGTTCGAAAATTTTCACCATACCATTCAGCACCTTCAGATTTTCAGAGCGAAAACCTTTGAGATGCACAAGCATTTACGACATTTTTGCTAGGATAGCCTTAATTAGTAAGGAAAACTGTGGTTTACTTTGGCCACGGATCGATGTGGGACAAATTGTCCAAAGTCAGAATTTCTGATTTTAAAAAGTTCAAAGCATGTTTGTGTAAGTAATTTGCACCACTCGTTTATTGCCACTTGGCACTAAATTGTGGGTTGACTTCAAAAATCGATTCAACCTCATAACAAGATAGATTAAAGAATAATTAATAACTTCCTCCGAGTTCTAACAATCGTCACAATTCGTACCCGACAAAATTTATTTTATCTATTAGGTTTATTTTTTAATAAAAAATTTAAAGTAAATAAATTATTTAATTTTTTATGTCAAAATAAAATATATAATTTAAAATAAATGATTGTAAATTATGTATTTAATATAATTTTAATAAATAATTATTAAAAAGATTCAAACGTAAAATTTTTTATAAAAAAAATAAATATTAATCAATTGAATTAATTATTTATTGATTATTAAATATTCTCATGTTTTATTTGAATTTTTTTCTATCAATCTTATAAACACGTATTTTCATTTTTCATGTTAATATAATATATTGAAAATTTTACTTTTGAAATAAAATTCAAATATATATTTTATTCAAATAAATAGAAAAACCCTTTTCTATTTATATTTTAGGCTTTCGGGGCTTTTTTTATGAACATTTTTTTAACTTCCAACCACCCAAAAAGAAAAACGAAAAGGCTGCTAATTGACTAATAGGCCAGGATTTTGTCTGTTATGTAAATAGTTTTGAGTCAAGGCAACTGAATAAAATTTATACGAAATTTCGTAGTCCGTAAAATTATTTTTTAAAAATAAAAAAATAAAATTTTTAATTGATAGATTGATAAATTTTAATTTAAAAATTAATAATATTTAAAAAATTTATTAAAAATTATTTATAATTTAAATTTAATCGATACTTATTTAACAGTAAAAATTTTATCAATATTTTTATTAAAAATATATATTTAATAAATATATCAAAATTTATTAAAAATTTTTAAAATTCTACATGTTTGATTTATATAATGAAAATTTTTAATTTTAATTTTAATTTACTTATTTTAATAAATAATTTTATGAACTTCATTTATAAAATTTCTATGTAAATTTTTGCTCTAAGCAATTACATGTGATTTATTGGTGGGCATTTCTCATTCTCGTTTCATTTATCTTGTGAAAGAAAATAATAAAACGGGTACTGCTTGGATAAACATGAGGCAAGGTAGGAAGATGATTGGAAAGTTTTTCCAATTGCCTTCCTAACGAAGGGAGAAAGAAAAACTATCACATCATTTTACGCTTAAATTTACAAAATATTTAACTAAAATAATTTTGTCTTGAAATATTCCTTTTCCTTATCCAAGGTTCTCTATTTGTTTTCCCTTTGATCTTGCACAATCATATGCGTATGAGTTCTAACCTTTCAATCTTCCATTATATTAATTTAACGATGACAAGATCATCATCATCATCACCAATCACACGTCCAAAAACAGATAAATCTACCCAAGAAAAATAAGATAATAGGAATTTAAAGAAAAAAATGGTGGGTCGAAAGAGGTGGACAACTGAGGCCAAAGTAAAAACCAACGAATGCTTGTTCTAGGCGCAGCCAAATTGGCGTTTCCGATTTGAATTTGTCGGCAGCTGATGACGTTTTTAGTACAAATACAAAAGAACGAGGTAGAAGCGAGAAACGCCGAAGAGATCAAACAAGGTTTTTCTATACAAAAGGGATTGTTGTAAATATTATTTGCAAGTTGAAGCATAAGCCAAATATTATTTGTAGCTGCAGTAGTAATAGTTATGGTTGTCATCCTTGAGGCTTTCAATAGTTTGGAAAAGTCGCCCTTTTCGTGTTTTGACTTTCTCAGGTTTTGAATATCCTCTAAAGTCTAACCCCCACGCATATATAATCTAACCCGCTGAGTTTCTCATCCTCAAAATCGCCTTCAGAGTTCATACCGATTCACAACTAAATCTTCAACAGCTCCAACTGGTGACCTACTTTCAATCCAATTCTCAACTTGTTTTTAAACAAACTTAAGGTTTTTATTGTCTGGTTGTTCTTGAAATCTTGGTTTCTAAAGCTTCTTGGATTTGTTTTTAAAATGGAAGAAATTGATGTTCCTCCATTTTTTATCTGCCCCATCTCTCTTGAGATTATGAAGGATCCTGTTACAGTTTCAACAGGGATTTCGTACGACAGGGAGAGCATTGAGAAATGGTTGTTTTCAGGGAAGAACACCACATGTCCGGTTACGAAGCAAGTTATTGCAGATTGTGAACTTACCCCAAATCATACCCTGAGAAGATTGATTCAATCTTGGTGCATGTTAAACGCTTCCCGTGGAATCGAAAGAATCCCAACGCCAAAGCCACCCATCAGCAAAGCTCAGATAACCAAGCTCCTCAATGATGCCAAGTCACCACAGCAACAGATGAAATGTCTCAGGAGACTGCAATCAATCGCTTCTGAGAATGCTACAAACAAAAGGTGCATGGAGTCTTCAGGAGCAGTTGAGTTCTTGGTTTCAATTGTGAGTTATTACGACTCTACAGCAGCTGAAGAATCATCAGATAACGAGTTTGAGACAATAAGACCAACACCAACTGATGAGGCTTTAAGCATTCTCTACAATCTACAACTCTCAGAAGCCGCTCTCAAGAATCTTATGGGAAAAAATGGTGATTTCGTAGTGTCCTTAACGAGAGTAATGCAACATGGAAGATACGAGTCTCGGGCTTATGCAGTACTGTTGTTGAAATCAATACTGGAGATAGCTGATCCGGCGCTACTCATCAGCTTGAGACCTGAACTATTCGTAGAATTGATTCAAGTTTTGCATGATCAAATTTCTCAGCAGGCCTCAAAAGCTACTCTACGATTGCTGGTCAGTATTTGTCCATGGGGAAGAAACAAGATTAAGGCAGCTGAAGCCGGAGTAGTACCTGTCTTGATTGACTTGCTTCTTGATTCATCAGACAGAAGGGCTTGTGAGATGATACTCACAGTGCTGGATGCAGTATGTGGATGTGCCGAAGGCCGATCCGAGCTGCTAAGACATGGAGCAGGGCTTGCTATTGTTTCAAAGAAGATACTTAGGGTTTCTCAGGTTGCAAGTGAAAGGGCAGTGAGAATTTTGCTGTCTATTTCCAAGTTCTGTGCCACAACTACTGTGCTTCAAGAGATGCTGCAATTAGGGGTTGTGGCTAAATTGTGCTTGGTGCTTCAAGTGGATTGTGGATTCAAGACTAAAGAGAGGGCCAGAGAGGTGCTCAAATTGCATGCTAGAGTATGGAAAAATTCTCCTTGCACACCAAGCAATCTGGTCTCTTATTATCCAGCTTGAGAAGAACAAAAACAAGAGCGATTCAAGTCACAAAAGTTTTCATTTTTTTTTCTTTTTGTCAATTACCAATACTTATGTACATCATTGTTCATTGATAAAATTATATAGCAAAAGCAACATTCATGGGAAAAAAACTAGTTATGTTTGGCGAATGGATCATTGGATATTGACTTCACCATTGTCGATGATGAGTTGTTGATTATTAGTTAACCAAACATGTTCTCTTCTTTTTCTTAGAACAAAAAAAAAAAAAAAAAAACGCTCCGATTGTAGTATTAACTCAACATAATTTTGCATAAAATTAAACAATACAAAGAATAATTGAGCTAGATATATAATTTGGAAACATTCTCAATAATCCTTCAACGTTAACAATAAGCTAAGATGTGAGTCAACGAAAAAGTGTGAACGTAAAGAAAGTCAGGAAATTTTCCAGAGAAAAGAATGCAAGCCCTAGAGAAGTTGAGAAATTGAGTTCACATATTAATGTTTCCCCCGGTGCACTATGTTGGATGTAAGGCAGCGTTGAAATGATCCATCAGGTGGCGGTGTCGGTGGAGAGCAGCCCTCATTTTTTTAATAGGAAGGATGTCAACCATGGTTCATTCGTCACTTAAATGAGCTAGCTGGAGAGGCTGGGGGGGGGGGGGAGACCGACTCCAGCTTTAAATCAAATTGACAAAAGAAAAGGTAGTAACATCCTTTCACATTCGTGCATGACATTTCAGCCTCGGAGCCGTCTCCAAAAGCCATCAGTTTTTTTACGCTTTTTTTTTTAAATTTTTTTCTAACAGTAGGAGACTTTTAGATTTTTTACAATGTTTTTTTTTTTTTTTTTGAATAAATCCAAATAAATTTATTAACATTAAATCTAATAAATTCATAAGAAGTTATTTTTTTCATAATCTCTCATACAAATTCGAATCTAAAGAATTAAAAGATTAACAAATTATCTTACCACTTCAAAATCTTACATTTCTTAATTTTATTACTTCCACTTTACCACTAATTAATTTAATCCAAGGAGTTTAGTGACTGATAGAACATTTTGCATTTGATTTATTTCTTTCTCATGGAAAATTATGTACTTGTTTAATTTTCAATTTTCTTTCATTTGAACGTACTTACATGTAAATTAATTTCAAAATTTCCATTCTGCTTTTGTTTTAAAAGTATTTATATCTTGCCATGTTCTTGTGATAATAGTCGTGTGACTTGTCAGAAACTACTGCGGTTGAGTTAACCAATGATTTTTTAGCAATGAATTATGAAGCTTCCATAATTAGCTCAAAACTAAGTTAAATTCTAGATATTATAAAAAGTAATAGAAAACAAAATAAATTGTAGAATGTAGTACCAATTCAAATATAAATTTTTATAAAAATTTATAGTAATATAAAATCATTCTTTTTCGTTTCTCTTTCGTATTTTCTCCAAAAGTCTTTTTTTTTTTTTAAATAAGATTTATGCAGGAATCAACAACATTATATCTTGGGGTCAAACTCAAACCCATCTAATACCGCAACTTGCACATGGTAAGGCTACCATATCAGACTCAACCTCACCGTCCGACGACTTTTCTGATTCATTTAATCTTCCACAATCGACCACGTCCTCTGGCCTACTCTCACATCATTAGATTAATTGAACACCGTCGCTGAATAATTCATATATATAATTAAACAAACCCTAGCTAAATATATATCTATATGTTGATACATACAATTTGACTATTTGGCATTTGCTACAAATAATTGTTTCTAGTTGTTCAAAGATATCATTTAATCAAATGGAATTGATGGACTCTTTACTGAATTAAAACTGATATTACTTTCTTGAACAATTAATGAAGTTTGGGTTAATTTAAGGAACCATGGATTCTGTACCTACCCTAATTTTTCAAACACTGGATTGTAGTAGTAAATTCTTTGAGCTTATACTTTGTTCATATACTGATATTATCTCATCTCAATTCTTTTGATTCTATACATAAATATGGGAACAAAAACAAGCAAATGATGGGGGGGGGGGGGGGAGAAACAATGATTTAGCAGAGGCTAGTGCACATGCATTCCCTCAAGTCATGGAGAAAGTATCATCACTTGACAAATCAAATGGACTCCACTTACCAAACAATAGATTTGGATTGTGAGTTCAAGTTTTTGTTGCTTGCAAGGCATGATTCATGGAGGAATGAGAATTCGGCCACGTTATTGTTTGACAGGAAAAGTCATCACCTGGCAATGGTGGCAATGTATAGTTACTTGTTTGTAAATTGTTAAAGTTTATCTTGATGCTTGTGTAATGATTCTAATCCAGAATGGTATATCTGATAATTGTTACTCAAATGGTTTTCTGTGGACAAATCAGAGCCAGTGAGTCATCCAAATGAGACCATTTTCTTCCAGTAGCTGAATACATGATTCCATGTTTGTGTTCGATACGCTTGAAAACACAAGGGATGGATCGATCTCACTAGGCAACTCTAGCACTTCAAAACCAGACTTGTTTTCTGGTTGTCGGTTATTCAAGAAATTTGTATAAACAAGTGCCAGATTGATATGATCAGAACCATCAGACATCACTGAGGAGCTATTAGACTCAGCAGAGGCATAGGAATGCCCAATTGTGTCAGTTGGAAGTACTCCTTTCGGTCGCATCATGTTTATCACGGTTGCGGATATAACGAAACTTTCGCGGTCATTACGGTTATTGCGATCGTGAATTTTTTAAAATTTTGCTCAACTTGCTATAAAATATAATAATTTTAATTATTAATCATAAAACCTCTTATTTTATGATTTTTAAAGTAATTTATATCATATCATGTGTTTTATTTATTTAAGAAAAAATATTTATAGTAAAATTTTATATTTAAAAAATTATTTATATGATAATTAAAAAATAAAAAGAGATAAATAAATATGTGAAAAATAAATAATCATAACGAATAATATATTTAATTATTTAATTACCGTACTCATCAAATTATTACCGAACTATATTATGCATAAATCAAATAATAAGTAATTAAGTATTCATAAATTAAGTAAGAGCATTATTATTTATGAGTCAAAAGAATTACTTTTTATAAACTTACAGCAAATCAAACTTGACAATCTCCATGTTATGGTCGATTTTCAATAATAATAACCCCAAGTCTACTTCTCTTGTCTTTTGACTAAATTGCATAGACCCACACAACTTCTTATCCCTTCACCTTGCATTCAATAATTTTTTTTCTCCAAACCTTCATCCTCATCCCCATCTCTTAGTTCTCTTTTTATTTGGTGTATGTTATCTGCTTGCTTCTGTAAACTTCAAATTTCATTCTCATCTCTTATCTCTTATTTTAAGTCCCAATAACTCTTGCCTCCTTCTATCAATGTAACATAGCCCAATCTAATCCCAAACACACAAAATCATGAAAATTTTGGAAATTAAAATAAAAAGATAATTTGAGTGTTGAATTAATTGTTTACTTTAAATTGCATATACTTGATTTTGATTGAAGTTGAACTTAAGAGAATTGATTTTTTTGAAAATTTAAGTTTTGTGGGTTTTTTTTTTTTAATTTGTAAATTGATGTTTATTTTCTTTCTTCTTGTTTTTATTTTAAGTTTTTAAACAAAATCAAATGAATTTTTTTTTTGAATTTTTGAATGAAAATAGGAATAACGGCAATAGCGGTAATAGTGCGTAATAGCGGACTGCTACTGCCGCTATTCATCATTATATCGCAATTTACGATCGCGATTCATCCGTTATAGACGATATTCAAATTCTCTCTCGTTTTTTCTCCAATAACAGTGACGGATAGTGGTGCGACCGCGAAATATCGACCGCGACACCGCTATCCAACCGCTATTTGAATCCTTGCTCCACATGACAAACTCTTTGAGGGGATAGCATCGATTGGTAGCGTTAAGGACTTACTTTTTCTAGCATCCACCTCCAACCGGCACGTTCCTAAGGGACCTCCCTTTAGTTCAATATCTTCTACAGCCTTTGCACAAGTACCTTGGTTGTGTTAAGCTATAATTGTTGTGATAGCAGAATTTAGTATTCGAAGAACCACACTTTGGACAATTTGGAGATATCTCCACACTAGGCTTCCATCCTCTCTCCATAACCAACTGGCTTGAACTGCATAGCCTTCATTAGGAAAGCTAGCGAGTAGACGCACAATCTGTCTCTCTTTCTGTGGGAGTAGGAGAGAGGGGGTCCAATTGAAGAAAACCAAACAATGTCAGGAGAGTTATAAGGAAAAATGGATAGGTTTTGTTCGTTTGGAGGCATATGGATGCTTATGGGGCCTCCGAAACGTGCGTGCAGTCATGTACATGAGAGTTTGTTAATTTGGCAAGTTGGGGTTCCGATGCCATTAAGAGTGATGGATGGTGGTAATAGTCCAATAGGCTAGAACAATATGTTGAGTTTGTCACATGTGGCACGATGTCATTGACGTAATGAAGAATGTAGCGGAAGCAAATGCCTCAAGAGGCACAAGCAGGCTTTTTTTCAGTAGCAGACAACCTAGATTTGAAAACTAAATAAGATGGTAAATGAAACCTGCGCTTATTCCAAATTCAGATATGTTGGTGTCCTCCTTTCAGGTAAAACCTCCCCTGGTGAACAGGGGGATTCAGGATTAACGGATTATAAAATATCAAAATGTCTATTTTATGCCATCTTTAGCAATCAAATGCTATTTAATTTATCTTTGTAAAAGGGTTGTAGATTTATGACATAAAGGAGATTGAAAAGGACCTCAATTGATACGCTAAAGCAGCAATACAAGAGCAAAAATATGAGTTATAACATCTACAATACGCATCTCAAAGTGATCTTCAGCCTACTGCTGGCCCACAATCAGCTTGAACTCCGAGTCAAACATGTCACATAAACCTCGGAACACCAGTCTAGCTGACTAAATCGTTCTTCAATCACCTCTTCGAGGAGCATTCCTTTTCAGTAACCGTTTTGCCCTCCATCGATGGATGCCATCAAGCACGGCGTCAAACCAATTTGGTTCACCTTTTCGAAAAGTAATATATAACATAGCCACTCCGAATACAATTCCACATCCATACCCTGTCAACAACGCTTCCCACCTAAGTATATTTTCAGAGTTTAAGCTATCTTCATCCATCCGAAATTCATTTTCAGATTCAAAGCCACCTCTATTCATCCAAAATTCATTTTCGTTTGATGGTGGTGGTGGTGGGAGTTGATTGTCCAATCTGAAGTATGGACTATGCAATAGTGGATTTCCCAGGAAGGACTCTTTCTCGAATGTTGATAATTGCCCAGAACCTGGAATATTGCCCGCAAGGAGTGGGTTGAATGAAATGTTGAATTTGCTCAGCTCATGCAACTCATTAAGGTTACGGGGAATTGTGCCTGAAAAGTTGTTGTGTGACAAATCAAGATTCCTCAAGCATTTGATATTCCCAATTTCCTTCGGAATTTGACCTGAAAATCTGTTCCCAGAGATGTTTAGGACTATAAGTGGCAACTTTCCAATCTCTGTTGGCAGTTTCCCGTAGAATTCATTGGAACCTAAATCTAACACACTGAAATTCTGCATCTTATCAATATCAGGAGGGAGCTCACCCGTGAGTTGATTCCCGCTGAGTTGAATATAACCTGAGATTTGATATGTCCTAACTGATGAACCCAGAGTACATACTGGGAAAAAGCCATATCCTTTGAGCAACTGATTCCATATGCTTCTACAAATCTTCCTAGTAGGAATTGTGTATAAAAATCCAAAAGGTGAGTAGTCAACAGTTAGCAATCTCTCCGTCACCAAGCACTCGCTAGGTCCAGCAATCATCAGGTCACTCTGCCGATTTGATTCAAATACTGGACTAGCATTTCTTCCGATATTTGTTAACTCATGAGGGATTGCTCCTGAAAGTTGGTTGTTAGCAAGGTTTATCCACAATAAGCTATCACAGTTCCCAATCTCATGTGGTATTTCACCGGTGAGTGAGTTGTTTGCAAGCATTAACCACAAGAGAGAGTTCAAGTTTCCAAGGGCAGGCGGAATTGATCCACTGAGGTCATTGAAGGAGAGATCAAGGGCTTGTAGCTGTGACAAGTTTCCATACTCTGGTGGTATAGTACCTTTAAATTGATTGTAGGCCAAGATCAAGAACTTCAAGCTTAGCATTTGAGAGATTTCAACTGGTAAGAAGCCGGAGAAATTGTTGTAGCTCAAGTCTAAACGATAAATATTTGGTAGCCTGTGAATGCCAGAAGAATATATCCCACCCGTGTATGAATTTCCCTGAAGTACAAGAGATTTCAACTGTGTGAATCTCCCAAAAATATCTTGTATTTCCCCACCAAAATTGTTCCTGCTCAAATCTAAAAGGGCCAAGTTCTTCAAATTCGAAAGGGATTCCGGAATCACTCTAGAAAAACTGTTGCCACCCAACAACAAGCCTTCCAGGGTCAAAATTGATCCTATCTGTGCGGGAATTGGCCCTGTAAAATTGTTTCCCCACAGATTTAGGACAGCCAAATTGTTGCAATTCGAAATCTCCCAAGGAACTTCACCTTGAAATTTGTTTTCTGACAAGTCCAAAGCGAGCAGACTACAGTTCACAAAAATAGATGCAGAAACTGGCCCAGTAATATTGTTTTCAGAAACTGAAAACTCCACAAGCCTCGAAAACCCAGTCCAGATGTAACCAGTAAACATATTGGCGCTCAAGTCCAGATACTGCAGATTTCGGCACCCATCAAAGCAGTTATCTATCCTACCCGTTAAATTGTTTGTGGAAAGGTTTGCAACAACTAGTTTGTTGCAATTTGCTGGCAAACTAAACTGCATATCCCCACGAAACCGATTCGTGGACAAATCAAGCTTCTCTAAACTGGTCAACCCAATCAAGTTCAACTCGCCTTCTAGGATGTTATGTGATAGGTTGAGATGTACAAGGTTGTGGCATCCATTCAAGTCATCAGGTATTGTTCCAGTTAGCGTGTTTTTGGAGAGATCAAGATATTGAAGTTTGCCTAAAGCTGAGAAATTCTTGAACATTTCCCCATTGATTCGGTTGTCAGAGAGGTCTATACCAGTTACTCTTGCCCCGTCCGAAGAGCAGAAGATTCCATCCCAGTCACATGGATTTGAACTAATTTGGTTCCATTCCACGTATCGTCCTCTGTTTATCCGATTTCTTCTTTCCAGAAAAGATTTCAGATTCAGCAGGATTTCCTTGTCCGTGTCCAGAGAATTTTCTGAGTTTGCAGTACCTGCTGCAATTGCATAGATCAATAATGTAAGAACTCTGACGTTCCATATCAAAACTGACTCTCAAATCCATTGGAGCTAAAATATTTAGCATTTTTCATACCCTCACTTTAGAATCTAGCTAGTTAACAGAATAAGCAATTCAAAGTTTAATTAAATATGATTCTAATTTAATTTACAAAAGAGACGTAAAGGGATTACAGGCATTTACGATTACAGGTGCTGTAATTTAATTCTAAACTTGTTGAATGTCATTAGTGACTGTATGAACCAACAAGACAAAGTCTCCAGTTGTTTCTATATATATATATATATATATATATATATATATTTACCACAAGACCAACTAATGCATTTTAAGGCAATGATTTTTAGTTGCATACCCAGCCAACACATTAGATCGATCATAAAACATAATAGAAAACATTTGAAAAAAGAAAGAATCAGCAGCAAAGCCTTGAACACCAAGAAGAAATGATACCCAAAAGAAAAAAAGAATTTTGTAGAGTTGATGATAAGCTCATTGCAGAGAAAACTAGCAAATGTCTATGACTGAGTAATAAAAAGAAAGCAACAGGAACGATTGATGACTAGGAAAAAGAAATAAGATAAAGTATATGGATTTCCATACCTATAATTAGAACCAAGAATACATGAACAACTGTGAAACACCGTGCTTCAGCTATTTTGTGATCTTCTAACATTGTTTCTTTTTTCTTCAACTGTTTTATTTCTTAAACAGTAAACAGTTTACAGAAACATGAAACTGAGGAAGAAAGATGTCGTCGGAATCAATAAAACTTCAAGAAAATTGACCTTAACGTGTTCAACTGTTGAAGCAGAGCAACTGGTCATAGTCGGAGGCTGGCTTATTTGACCAGTGGTCGAGGTCCTGTCGTTTAATTATTACATAAAATGTAAAGTAACTAATTAATTTTTTTAAAAACACAATTATATTAAAATGGAATAATCTTTTCGTAAATTTTTTGTTCGTTACTCAACCCTTCTAGTAATTTTTTTTTTTCGAGTTTGGAAAAATTATTTATCCTTTTTCTCCTTAAAAATAAGAGAAAGAAAACAAAGAAAACAAACATTATTGTAATTAGCAGAGTCAAATGCTGATGTAATCATAGTTTCAAACGCATTGACTGGTGTACGCTCTTGACCAAGTCTAAATGGCTCAAGAATCTCTGCCTTCACAAAAGTCATGCGAGTTACTAGTAAGTTGTTTCTTCGGATCACAGTCTGGTTGATTTCAATAAAATTGAAAATAATAATAAAAATTATTATAAATATGATTAAAAAAATTATTATAATTTTAATTAAAAAAAATATATTGAATGAATTTTATTAAAATTGACATTTAAATTTAATTAATGATACAAAAAATTCAACTACATTATATTAAAAATATGATAAAATTTAAATCTCTATTTACTTCAGTTTATCTTTCAAGTTGCAGAGAAAATGAGCAAAAAGGAAAATAAGGTAAATAATTATAACAATTTCCTTTTTATAACTTGTAATAGTTATATTTTAAGGTTTTAGACATTCAAAATAGAAACAAAAAATTGTTTAGCTTTTTTTTTTTTGGTCATTTTAAGAGGGCATCTTATAAGGTGAAATGTTTTTTTATTTAAGAGATTTTATTTAATAAAAAACAAATTATTATATTTGACATATCATGAAAATGTAACTTTTTCATGAACATCGTATTCTCATAAAATAAGGTAATGTGATTCTCTTAATAAGGAGTGAAAAGTATACTTTCTCATGTTGTAGAAAGTAAAATAACATTTTCTTAGAAATTTTAATAACACTTTCTCATATATATATATATAAATATATTATTACAAATCCAACCGTCCAACGAAAAAAAATCAAACTATTCATAATTTTCTTTCGTTCTTTTTTTTAATACCGTGGCAAATTTCAAAATAAATAAAAATAGCCATCCAACGACTAAGCCCATTCCGTCCTTGTCCATTGATATTTGAGCCCGTGTTTTTTTACGGGCTCTAAACCTGTCTAACATGGCCCATGGAGGGTCCGAATCTTAACAATGACAAAAAGGGCCATAGCCCACAATTTCTTCCCCCAACTATCTCGGTCTCTCCCTCCCAAACTTCCAACTGTCAAACCTCCATTGACACCAAACAAAAGATCCGATCCTAATGAGGCAGCGATTCCGCACCATCTCATTGCCTCTCAATAGCCCGAGTCGACTCGCCACCTCATCGGTTCAACTCGGAGCTTCAGAAAAGGCAGCTCTCGGCCAGTATTAGGGCAACCGACAATCGGAGGAGAGGGAAAGAGAGGGATAGTGATGGCGGATCCGGCAGATACGCCACTTGGAAAAATGCTATTGGAGGAGATCACTCCGGTGGTTATGGTACTCTGCATTCCACTTGTAGGAGAATCTTGCCTTAAGAACGGCCTCTCCTTTATCCAAATGCTCTCCCCTTTCTGCGACTTTGCCAATATTGACGGTGAATAATTCAAAACTTTGTCTACGAAATTTCATACTTACATTTATACTTTTTTTCTGTATATGTACGTTGAATTTAAGGTGATTATTTTTTTTTTTAACTTATCTGAATTTTGGTGGCAATGCCTGTACGGACGGCGAGTGATCAACCCTACAGGCTGCAGAAGTTCAAATTGCGGTTGTTTTATGCCTCGGATATTCGACAACCCAATCTCAAGGTAATTTCTATTGAGATTCTTGGTTTTGTAGCTTAATAATGTAGTGGCATTTTTTTTTTTTTTAAGTAAGTGAAGATCACTGCAATTCATTTTGTATGAACTGGAATTGGTGGGAAATGAAAATTTGGTAATTAGGAACATAATCAAAAGCACTAGTAGGCTACTAGTTGAGTTCGAAGCTACTCAGAGCTATTTCAGTTTAAATATACCTGATATTGATTCTTGAGCTTTGATAAAGTATTTTAGTATTGGAATCTGTAATTTAATTGGTTCGATTGAGGGGGATTTATTGTACATTGCAAAATAAACAGATGATGAAAGTTGATGGGTTTTGGTTTAGTTGGAATAAAAGTTGGTTGGTTCCAGCTCAATAGTTTGTGTGCCATTTCAATCATGTGATAACTTTCATCTTCATTTTTTGGTGGTTCTTTCTGAAATAAATGTTGATCGCCTAGTTGGCAAGGGAGAGGCTAAAGCAGGTTATTACCCATGTGGGAGAGAAAGATTTTTCTGAAATGTCTTTAGACCCACCTCAAGTTAACGATCTTCTCTCTAGTAAGTTATGTTTGATTTTGATATTTTTAGTGGGTATCATTTATGCACATTATGTTGTAATTTTTATTAGCAATTTGTTTCCTGTGGCTAGTTTTTCATTTTTAATATGTTATTGAGATTGTCTGATTTCGTAACATGCCCTTTCTTTTGTAGTTTTATTAAAACTTCACCTAGCTGCTTTGATTTATATATGGTGAATGTTTTCTGCAGGGCCTGAATCTGAAATTTTACCATCATGGTTTCAGATTTTTAACAAAGTGCTTGTACGAACCTTGTCTTTTTCAGACCATGAAGCTTTTGATCATCCTGTGGCATGTAAGCTTTGGAAATTTATTGGACACCTTTCTTTCTTTTTTCTCATTGCTATAATTGAGCTCTTCTAATCTTGTTCCTTCCACTTATGGGTTTCTTTAAAATGTTCATTCAAGACACCATATTACATTCACTTGTTGTTTGTTTTTCCAAAATGATTTGCGGGCCTTTTGGTTGTTTCTTCAAAGGATGATGAACCCATAAACAGATTTGTAGACCTCTTTAACACCAGCAAATTACCTTCTCTTCTCAATGATGGTGCAATGGACCCAAAGATTTTGAAGCATTACTTACTTGTGCATGATAATCAAGATGGTGCTTCAGAGAAGTATGCGACATTTTCTCATCTTGCTATGTTTGAAATTATTAAGTGCAATAAGCATGAGTGCTTGACAACAATGCTATTAAACTCTGCTCTATAATTTCAGAAGGACATGCATGCCTGTCTGCGTTTAACTTTTATTTTTCTGTTTTAAGTTGATGCAGCAATGTGAAGATATATTTTTTTTTCTTACATTTCTTACTAGAACATGTAAAGGGCTGCATGAAGGCTTGGAAGAATATTTAAGCAGCACCTAATTGAATATATTAGATTACCAACCAGCTGTACGTATTACAAAATGAGACCAAGTGGGGAATAAGCAAGAACCTGGAGATTCCCATCATGCATGAAGAAACCTAGTTGATAGAAGAATCCTACATTACATGGAATAAGACAAATGATTCTGGTAAAAATCCTCAAAGAAGCTGTAGGAAATAGAACACCATTATGTAAAAATTGAAACAGATTGAGCTTTTGTTTAGGCTGGGGAAGCCCAAGTTCAGACCAAAATTTCTTTCACCTTATGCCAATCAGGATTTTATCATATGTTCTACTTGGTTGTGGGATGGTTTTGATGATATGATTACTAAAAAAGAAGCTAAAGATCTGATATGGATTGAGTAATTATATCATGTATATTTCAGTTAATTAAGGTGGATGCCATGTGAGGAAAGTGAATACATGATAAGATCTGAATTGCAGCTAGTTGAAACTTGCTTTAATTTCTTTTTTGTTCGCAGGGCTACTAAACTTTTGACTGAGATGAGAAGTACATTTGACCAAAATGACTGTCAATTACTTTGCATTAATTCTTCTCAAGATGGGCAGCTCCATCATCAAGATAACCCTTGGGCTCCATTTGTAAATTACTCGGCCTTGAAGGATTATTATCTTTCAGTTATTTACTTGTTCGTAGGAAAATATTTGGTGAATCTTATGTTGGTTCAAGCTACCAACTAAAGTTTTTGATAAAGTCAGCCTAATGGTGTAATTCATGTGTTTTTGTGACAGAAATCTGATGCTTTACTAACCGAACATCTTGGTTGTTTCCTCAATTTTGATGACTTAAATGAGGTAACTTTTTCAACAACTTGATCTGATATTCTTGATACTTTTGTTTGTCATTCTCCTTATGCTTGCATAATCTGGGAACAGATAAAAGTCTCTTGCAAGAATTATCATCTAAGCACATCATTCCTTACATGGAACAAAGGATACATGTGTTGAACCAACAGGTATTTTAACTCCCAAAATTTGTTCCCTGTGTTCATATCCGAATTCCAATGTATTTTTTTTAATTTTTTATTTCTTGATTACTTTTTCATGTTCTTATTCCTCTTTATGTTTCATAGTAAAATTAGGTTTCTGCTACAAGAAAAGGTTTTAGGAATCAAATTAAAAAATTATGGTGGAGGAAGGGAAAAGAAGATGCATTTGATACCCCAAATGGTCCTGTGTAAGTGTTGCTGTTCATTCATTGAAATTCAAGTTTGTTTCTCATTTCTTTTTGAGCTATCCTAATTTGATTTTATTTTCTCTGTTCATAGGTATACCTTTAACTCAATTGAGTCTCAGATTAGAATTTCAGGTGACTATGCATTCATGTTACGAGACTATGAACTTGCACTATCGAACTATCACCTAATTTCCACTGATTACAAGCTTGATAAAGCCTGGCAGTGCTATGCTGGTGTACAGGCTCCTTCAAATGTTTTTTTTTTTTTTATATATATAAAATATACCATTTTCTCTTCTCTTTATGTTCATCCTCCACTTTAGTTTATTTTTCTTTTCGTTGGGTTGGGTTGTGCTTCATGTGAATGGTTTGCATCTTCAAATTAAAGGAGAGTACAGGTTTCTATTCATTCTCATACATAGATCTCA